GCAGCAAAAAAAGGCCCACAGGTTTCACTGAAAAAAACCCCCTTAGTATCAAAATTTTCAAGCTGATGGTGTAACTTTGAGGCCCTGACTCAGATTTTGTTCTGTTTGTGGGGTGGATGATATTTGCACTTCACGGGCATATTCCAAGAACTGACTAACACCTATAATCAGGCTTAAGGAGGAAAAATAAAAGTCCTATGGGTGCTTTGGTAGAAACCAGCAAAACTCAACTTTGCTTTATTTCCAAAGTCAAAAATAAAAAATGAAGGATTCAAGTGGAATTTTCAAAGGTTAACTACTTAAACTCTGGAGAAGCGAAACCTCAACCCAACTAGAGTTTGGTGGCAAAATTCCCAGTGGCTTGACTGAGGCCAAACTCAGATCAACTCCTGTGTTTAAGAGAGAGAGATACTCACACAAATGCAATAAATGCAATAATACTTGCAAATTTATTTCCCCTCCCAAATTATCTGCCGAGACGTAATTTCTCTACCAGTTGTTAAATTTACCATTATGTAAAAAAGGTACAACGTCTGTAAAACCTGAGGCTACATAACCTGGAACTCGTGTGCTCCAAGCGAAACAGAGAGTACCCTTCCCTTCACCTTTCAGTGTTTATGACGTTGTCGAGTTAACGATTTCGAATTTCGTAAAAAACAATAAATGCCCCTGACATCAAGCTGCAGTGATATATTTTTTTTTTCCTCTTGCCCTCTTCTATTTCTCAAGATACTGGAAAGAAATATTAAGATAATCCAGCATGCAAATTAAATTCTACAAAAGCCCAGCCAAAAGGCTGCTTTTAAAAGCAGCGGTATGCAAAGGCGAGGACAGCTCTGTCCTCTCAGCCTCCCCCAGTCTCACCCCGAAAACCTAAACCAAACCCAAATTCTTTTCTTGGCCGTGACTTAAAGGGAAGATTTATTTTCTGTTTTGTCAACCGAAAACAAAAGTTTCCATCTTAGTAATGTCATCGTTTCTTCTCTCCAAACACACACAGGTTTTAACTATCGCACAACAAATCTCATTTAATCACATAAAAAAGTCAAGCGATGGGTTTCAATTGCGAGATACTGACTTGGACGTCCCAAATCTGTTTTCAGTCCAGTATCCAACTTTCAGCTCAATGCAACACACAACATTTACGTCTTTAAAAAAAAACTGTATTTTTAGTATTGCCAAAACACACATGCACTTTTACTTTCTTGGGAGAAAAATGTGTCTCTTGATTTGTTTCCAATCTGAGCGCTCTTGCCAGCAACTAAAATGCTTGAAGAACCAAAATGAATAATCGTTAAGAGCATCAGCAATTAAAGCTCTGCAAATTTTAATCAATACATCTATTAATACAAAGATATATTTATCTTGGCCAGGAAAAATGTGCACATTTTCAAAATCCTAAGCATACCTGGCCTGTTAAATTATTTGTTTCACAGATTCAAGGAAATCCAATATCTATGGCAAATATATTATCAAAGATGCTTTAGTCTTTTTTTTCACTTCCAGTAATTTCTGTGGGGCTGATATTTTTTTTTTTTTTTATATTCTTTTCCCAACTGCTGGTTACTAAATCCATTCCTTAACTTTCAATTTTCTTTTGTTTGTGTCATCAGGCTGTGAAACCGGAGGTCACTGCCAAATATAAAGCACAGCAGCGTGAGATAGGCTCAAAATGTGACTCATCGTGTATTTGGAGATTTTTTTATTTCTTTTTTTTTTTCAACTATCAGCAGAGCACATCTCCACTCCTGCGTCTTAAGTTCTTATACACTAAATATCTCAAAATTTGCTAAAAGCAGGTCTGCAGGTAGAGTTATCGAGGTCAAGAGACCCCAAGGACGTCGCTGGAGCCCATTGTCATGTAAAGGCTGTTGAAGGCACCGTGCCCCAGCGCGGCCACGGGAGGCCGGGATGTATTGAAGTACCGTGGCTATTTGATCGGTGAATAAAGAAGGAATATAGGAAATTATCCACGAGGCGGTACCAGATTAGCTACACGGCATATCCTAGATTAATTTTCCACATCTGTTTGCTGTGGTGGGGTTGACATGACAAAGCCTGCCAGCCGGCATTAAAGTACGGAGCCCGAGAGAGAGGGAGCTCTTCCAGCCCCGCGTGGGACCCCACCAAGCAGCACCACGGGACCCCTCGCAGGAGAATGGGGGCCAACACCATCCTACCATCCTCTCCCCCCTGACCGGTGCAGACGCAGCCCCCCAGCACCCCTGCCAGGGACCTGCACCAGCGCCCTGGCCAAGCAGAGAGGAGATAAGCCATGCCTATGGTATTCTTGTCATGCACAAAGTCTGTTTGTTGGAAAAAAAAACCCAGCTGACTGCTGCGACCATCCAATGAGACATCTATAGTTATCAACTAAGTGCAAAGATGGCTCGGTGCATCACTTGAGCAAACTTCTGAAAAATGGGCGCATTTCCACCACCCTCAATGTTCATTCTACGTATTGTCGGCACGGGAATTGCCTGGTCTGCACGGCGCCACCCGGCTTCGGGGGGAATTTGGGTGCAGTTTTACCCCCAAATTCTACCCCCAGGGCCACCGTTTCCTTTCGGCAACAGATTTTCATTGCGGGGAGGCACTGGGGGTCTCTTACAATTCCAGAGGACTTCCAGTATGATTCAGAGCGCAAAAGCACCGGGAGTGAGGAGGAGGAAAAAAATAAAAAATAAAAAAAAAGACTGGGCAGTCATTTGAATCCGTGAGTGACAGGCTGGGCCAGCGCTCTGTATACATTAATAAATTAGAATTTTAATTGTGTCTCTGACTGCAGGAGCTGCTCCAGTACTTTAATACGTACCAACAATTGGCTATGTTATGGAATCCGCGATGTGGCCTTCACTGTTGACCTCTGCAACACAATTCCCAGTCTGACTACGGAAACTGTTTGGTTTGATCCTTTCAACTTATTTGAATCCTGACAAATAAGCTCACAGCTGAAAGGTCAACACAGTCATATTTCATCCTCTGGAGCTATTCTTAAGACATCTGCACAACAAAGCACTTCTTTTAGTACCTGACACTGGACCTAGCCAGCACAATCTCTCATTAAAAATGTCCCCAGTGGAAGAGTCTATTAAAAGGCATATGGATCAGCTATGGATTTACCAAATAAAATATTTTTGAAAGCATTAATGTAACACTTTGGATTATGGTGCTCTACGCTGCCAATAAAATGTATATTTGCCCAATGACAAAATGTTTCATACTTTCCAAAAGAATAATAGCTCGGCTATAAAGTACGAGGTGTTGTCCAGCAGCCTGAGCACGGGGGCGGGAGCCAGGAACTCATGAATCTTAATCCTACCTCTAAAACCAATTCCCTCTGTGATCCTAAGCAAGTCACTTAACCTGCTTCCCTCAGTTTCCCAGTCCAGAACTGGGATAATGCTACTTACTTATCAGACTTTCCTTCTGGGGATGTTTTGGAGATTAGTATTTGCAAAATGCTTTGAAGATGAAATCACTACACGAAAGCTCAGAGTTGTCCACGCAGGGCCAAGGGCTGCAGTTAATGGCTATTCCTCGCTCACAAAATTCCCCTTCAAGTCCCCATCAGCTTTATTCGGGTAAGACCCGCGGGATCGGGTCCCCTCGCTTTACTGTCAAGGCCTTTAGTGATGTTGGCTTTACCTTCCATATTCTACTACATATTTAAAGAGTCTAGGATCCGTATTTTTGGAGGAAAATAATCTGAAGCACATATAAAAGGCAAGAGAAGCAGCAATGCTGTCAGGGAACTCATGGTGATAGTATATCAAACTAAAAAAAAATTAGAAAGAGCAAAACAGACATGAGTTTGACAATGTGCTATGACAACAAGCGAGGGGAAAAAAAAAAAAAAAAAAGAAAAAAAAACCCGGAAAGAATTTGGGGCTACAGAGGCTGAAGCATCAGATATAGAAGAGGGAGATAAGCTAAATGTCCCGGCTACAGGGCTTTGTGCGATGCAGCTGAACCGCTGCATTCAGTAACTTATTATCAAAAATACAGTGACACGCTGCAATTGCAAAGAGAGCAATAATAAAAGCAATAACCAGCTGCAAACCTGCGAAGTGGTCAAGGGTCTACAAGTGCCGCTTTACGAAATACATAAAGAACTAGATACATATAATTTGCCAAAACTGGCAAGTACACGTTAGTATCGAAGATGTTTGAGGAGTGCGAACACGAGGCGAGGCAAGGGACTGACTCAGTATTTATACAAGCAGCATTACTTGGAGCAAGGGGATGGAATTGAAAGTGGAAAGTTCCTGAGCGTGTGCTTTGTTATGGAAAACCATCCGAAGGAAAATAATAGCGGTCCCACCACCACTTGGGATTTCTAACACTACAATAGCAAAAAAAAAAAAAAAAAAAAAAAGGAAAATGTGATACATGACCTAATAGGTCTTTCTTGTCTTTAACTCCTGTGATTTATCCCACAAGACTAGCAGAACGCTCTCCAAAGCCGCACATGTGTGCATACATCTTGTATTTGGGAATGCTGTATTGGTTTTAGCTTTCTGAATTCATAACGGCACAAAGCCCGATAATATTTAGATTTTATTTCTGAAGATGTCCATAAATCAGCAGACAATAAAAGGGGAAAAAAAACCCCACACCGCTGATATGATATCCTCTTATTTCCCGATATCCTTGACACAGCAAATCAACGGTTTGAGCGAACACAGACTACAAACGGAACAGCAATCAAACAGAAATGTTAATGCAAATCTCCTATGCACACTGACACGGTAACAAAAGCTATTCCATTTTGTCATGATCCAACCCTACTAATAAAAGTACACGCTCAAGATCTGTAAATATGCCGTGGGTGGGATTTTCAAGAGCACCAAGCACTGGTCCTCACACCACCTACATCAGCCACAGCTGCTCTGTGGACTTCACCGGGAGGAAGCTCCTGAAGGCCCCATCCCAACGTTCAAAAAGACTCATTTATTCAGCTTTTACAAGCCCTGGCCCCTCACAAAGGCTGCCCTTACCTGAAGGGCTGGCTGTTTGTCATTCCTCTTCGGAGACTTTAATCCACTAACTTGTTGCTGCTGCTGCTGCTGCTGCTGTTGCTGCTGCTGCTGCTGCTGCAGTAGAAGCTGCCGTGCCACCTGGAGAGCCTGCAAGGAAAGAGGATGGAAAACTGAGTTTACAGCAGACAGGACATGGGGAGCTACAGCCACAGCACAAGGTCAAGGCACTCCTTGGCCACGGGGTACCACTCCACTCCCAAAGTACCTCCACCCAGGAAAGCAGTGGCTTCCATAAAAAAACCAACACAGACACTTGCACACGACAGGGTGGTATCGAACCACTGGATTTCCCATTTTGACTATGGAGAAAACTGGCAGCACCTGGAGTTCAGCACCTGCAGGAGAACCTTGGGTAACTCCAGAAATCCCGGTGGTGAGCACCATACAGTTATTTGAATCCCTTGCCTGGAGCAGCTCATACCCCTCTTTGCCACCAGGCAGGCTCACACACTAATGGCTTTCATGCTCCTCTTCTCCAGTGGGTCAGGTCTGGTTTAGGGAAGAGGGCAGTTGTGTATCTCTGTCTGCCCTCCTGAGCACCAGAGAAGGTCAGGGAAGTTTCTGGAAGGCTATGGTGGGAGGAAGAGAAGAGCCAGCAGCAGGCAGAGCTGTATCAACTCCTGGAGGTACCATGGACTTAGCATGCTCTCATGCTGAGGAAGGTGTGAGGAGCAATGGAAAGTGGGGACAGCACCTCAATCCTTCAAAATCACCAATACCAGCATCAGGGACTTGGACTGGAGGCGGCAGAGCAGCAAGAGGACAGTGCACCTTCATGGGATGAAGGGACAAGAGACATAATCCCGAAAGCATGACCAGAGCATCACATGGTGGTGGATTATTGCAAAATTTCATGCAAAGCAAAGGAAAAGCATCCCCGGGCACTACAGCCAGCCGCTCCATGAGGCCCAATTTCTGCATCAGGTGTGGAAAACCGAGCAAGAGATGAAACATGGGGGGAAGCAGGAGAAGGAGCAAGTCCCTGCCTTGGCTCCCTCCTGGCCCCCCAGGCAGGGGACATCTTCTGACCCCTGTGAGATGGGCTGTGGCACAGCTGAGGCTCCGCTGGCAAGACCCGAGCCCACGGCTCCCAGAGGATTCACCAGCGCCGGACTCGGGCTTTCTTGGTCTCCTTGGAGACGTTCAGTACATGTGTAGGTGGAAAAGTGGGAAGGCTGAAGACTTCATTAATGTAAAACAAGAAAAAAAGTCCCTTTGCAAGATGCCTACACGGAAGGAGGGAAAAAGCCTTCCCCACTCCTACTGTGTATGCTCTCTGAGTGATTTAATTAATACCTATTTAATTAAGGAGTCAGATACGCTTCGGGTTTCACTTGCTTCTCCAAGTTGCACAGTGTTTCATCTCAGCGCAGAACCGCCAGGAACGGTGTGATACCCAGGACTGCAAACTCGGATCCACCACCCCCCAGAAAAAACCCTGTTATTTCATGGCCTAGACCCATCTATTTACTTTTGAAGGGACACCAGGCAGCCCAGGGGGCTGAAGAACCACCGCTGCTGGCCACCACGCCGGGGGCAAGCGGGGAGGAGAGACCTTACCGCGCTCTGGCAACGAGCCCTCCTTTCAAATCTAATAACAAGTCTCCACTGGATCAGAAAAAAAAAACTCTTTTAAGGGTGGATTTCCAACAGAGCTTGGTGCCACGAAAGGAAAAATCAGATTTTGCGTTTCAAGCTGGTTGGAGCTCAGTGGCACCCGCAGCATCTCTCAAATGGTCCACGTCCCTGCGAGGAGCTGCCGGGTGAGCATCTGTGCTCCCACCCCCCCAACCACCCCTGCCGCCGGGTCAGCGCCAAGAACCAGAAGACCCTACCAATTAATAGAATGCAACAAAGGAAACCATTATGCAGAACGTGCTAAGTATGCTTTAAAAAAAAAAAAAAATGTTATTTTTATTGAATTAGCTTATTTAGCTGTTAAAGCATCTTCAAGGGTGGGCAGAGGCAGCAGAAATAAAACCTACAAGACTTAAGGGGATGGGCAACAAATACTCACCTACTTAACAGGGGTGTTGTATGGCTTATTTAATTAATGAATACTTGTAAAGCACTCTGAGTTGCTCAGACAAGAAGCGCTATACAGTACAAGCGCAACATATTATTATATATTATTAAGACTGGCTCTGCAGAAGAATAATTCCAGGTAAATGTGCAATCAAATGATCATTTTAGTTCCCAGTAATTAGATTCAATAGGCCAAAAAAAACACAGAAGCCTTTCTTTAATCACACACTAAACAATCAGAACATCCCTAACCTTTCAAGCTACAGCCTTTTTGAATAAAACATCATCAACTTATAGATATTATTCCAAAAAGAACCAGTCACCATATGTGTTGTCTCTTTGAAATACAGTTGCTATAGCAGACCCTGCATGCATTTCATGTGATATGATCATATTCTATCCGTTCTGGCAGCTGAGAGGTTGCACAACTAAAATTGGCTGCCAGAAATTTTTGAAGATTCCCAGAACAAGTAGCCATGCAAGAAACGCTCACTTTCTACCCGAGCTGGCAGGGAAGCTCTGTGCAGCTCAGCAGGGTGGCCACTGCCACCACCAGACCTTACCATGGTTGACCCCACGCCGATGAAGATCTCTGCCCCCCGGGGCCAGGCTGACAATGGTGAGGCTCTGATGGGGCAAAGCTCAAGCTCTGTCTCCACTCCAGTCCCACCAGCACAGCACCCACGTCCCCACACACCCACCCCTGGGCAGGTTCTGCACTGGAGGTGACATCCACACCTCCCTGCTCCGTGTCCTGGTGCCAAGACCTGGTGGGACTAGTGATGGCGAGAGGGAGGGACCAGCATGGAGGATGGAGCAGGGAGGGAAGGAAAGGATTAAAAAGAATGGGAATAATGAATGAGTTGGCTGGAGGGAGCAGCATGGATACAAGGAACTGGGAGAGATGGGAACAGCAAAGGGAGAAACACGGAGGGGCAGGCGCGGGCGAGATGGCAGCGAGCTGACAGCCCTGGGGATTGCAGCTTGAAATGGCATTTCCCATCTCCCTTCTCTCAAGATTTCGCTCTTCCGCTTATAAATAACTGACAGCAATAAAAGCTAAGCATCAGATGAGCTTGGGTTTAAGATGTGGAAGGCTGTTTATAGCTCAAATCTGGTTCTAACTGAACATCTGCATCAAGTAAGCTACCGCATCCTTGGTGGTACGGTGAACCCAGGGCTTCCCAAGCCCCTTTGCTTTTCTACATCTCCCTCAGCTTTTCCTCCCTCCTGTCCCAGAACAAGCACTAACCCTCCACCATCTCAAAGTCTCATCCACACTCCTTACACACCACGGGATGCATGGAAGACAGACAGTTAGCTCAGTACGGGAAGCACCAGCCCCTCATCCCTCTTGCATGCAAAGCATTTCAAGCTCATTTGGAGCGACTTCATGAAATTAATTTGCCGGTGTCAGTTCAGGCCCGGTGGACACCTGCCCTCATTAGGCCGGCACATCCCGTTTAATCCAAGCAGACAAGCCCCACATCTCTACCCCCTTTCCCCAGGTCCACCCCGCGTGGAGCCCTGGGCTGGATGGGGGGTGGGAGCCCCGCACCGCTCTCCAGCAAGGACAGACGGGGAAATTAATTTGAGAGCAAAGTCAGTCCCACAACCTCCATCAGCACGGAGATGCGCGAGCAGGCCTGTACATTAATAAAGCTTCCTGTGGGAGTAGATGTTGCCTTTGATTTGCATGTGAATTCAATGCTAGTGAGAAGTGCCAGACTGTCAGACATGGAGACCAAAGTCTCTTATCTTTCCAAAAGCTTCTGTAGCAGTTTCCCCACATTTCCTTAATCATCTGCCTTGTCCTCAACTTACTGAACAGGCAGTAGAGAGAGTAAAGCTGGACTCGGTTCAACTCCTGCTGCTGCCAAGTCCTGAAACAAGGGTGCCAGGACTGTTTACTGCTAGCCAACAGCTCTGCTAACGTGGCCCTCTCCTCACGAGCGGGTGGCTCTGACATCTCCAAGCTCTTTTCACACATTCCTCCCCACTGCCATAGTTACATCCTAAACCTCCACCACGTGCTTGCGCTTCTGCAAGTGAACAATTGCCAGGGGCCGTGGTAAACCGGCTGGTGTTTGTGCATCCAGGCAACCGAGTTCTCCTTGGTGGGACCAGCAGGTAGAGTCGCCAAGAGCCCCCCGAAACCACAGAGGTGCTGTGGATGTCTGGGACCGTGATTACCAGCAGCAGTGTTATGTGCTGCCCATCTGTGCTGCTCGAAGAGCCTGCACACCTGGTCACGGCTGCTTGGGACAACCAGACTCAGAAGCCAATCCTGGCCTCCTGGCCACAGCATCAGCAAGTGTCCTCCTCTCTGCACCAAAATTCAGATAGGAAATCCTCCCACCTACTGAAGGAAGAGGAAGAAAAGCATCCTCTAGCAAGTGCATCTTCTGAGTGCCACAGTTTTTGGTCACCACCAACAGGGATCTGAAAGGATGACATCAGTACAAGGCTCACCACTAACCGAGTCATCTTGATTCTGCTCAGCGCTACACCCAAACACAAGATACAGTAAATGAACTCTTGAGCTATTTCCTTATCCATTAGGAAATCACCCAGAGATAAGGAGATTTTCTGGCATAAAACAGAGACCAGTAAAAAGGCAAACGAAACGCTGTACTTCAGAGACATTGCACAAACTTGGGATGGTATTTGGGAGCCACCACCGGGTGACACCTAACCCAGGAAGAATTTTAACAGCGCATTCACTGTGAGATGAATCAAGCCTGTTTCATTCAAAGATGCCACAGAGTAAGTGGGAAGCCCCACCAAAAACCCCTCTCCCTGTGCTTAGGGAAGTGGCAACCATTTAATGTTTCCCAACGAGTCAAGCACTGGAGGGGAGGGGGAAGTACACATTGGAGATGACCAAGACAATTTTATTGCAAGATAGACAGAACGTGACTTGTTTGCCCAGCTGTTGTTTGCCCAGAACATCCGGCACTGTTATCACCCGAGTTACTGTTGAAATTCGACATTTTGACTCAAGTGGCCTCTATCTTTTGGTTTCACCATCCTCTCCGGGCAAGTTTTGCTCGAAGGGTGAA